CCCCCTTTTTTTTAAAATTTGTTCCACCCTTCCTTGTTACCTGGCTTTTTGAAAATGTTCAAACTATATGACATAATCCCATAACCTTGATATGATTTTGAGGTAACGTCATAGAATTTTTCTTTCGTAGATCCCACCTGTAAACCACCAGAACCTGAATTCCCGTTGCTTTTGCCCTGCGCTTTAAACCCCGTGAACATGTTAGAATTATTTCAATGTTCCTACGTTGTCATTTCCCGTGAACATGTTAGAATTATTTCAATGTTCCTACGTTGTTATTTCCCGTGAACATGTTAGAATTATTTCAATGTTCCTACGTTGTCATTTCCGCTGTATGCTTCCTGAACACATGTTGAAGAAGTAAAGAAGGGTCTTTGACCGAAACGTCCAGTGTAAATTTCTTGTTTTGAGACACTCGATGGAAGCAATGTTTACTCTTTTGCTATCATGCTGAGGACTACGGAATTGATTACCTTGGTTCGAATCTCCAACGGGTAGTTCTGAACTTTTATTTAAATTTGTGAGTTTTTCTAAAGTCCCCCCCCCCCCTATTTGGCTCGGTCCTATAGCAGATGGACGTTAATTTAGGAGATTCCGTCTCTTGAATAAACTTACAGTGTGGAATGGGGCGTTGAACCTATGCAATGACCCAATGACCAAATCATGCCAAATGAGGCTTTTTATAGAACCATTTCGTAAGTTTCTATCAGAACCCCAAACAGCAACTAAATTTTTTTTTAAATACATACTCCAAATTCAAAATAACCTACAATGTCGTAGCCTCATAATTACAAAGTTCTATCTGATATTTCGGGCAGTTTTGATTTGCTAAGACCGTTGGGTCGGTTAGCAAATGTTGTATCTGCTCTATCAAAATCGTAAGAATATTCGGAATCGTTATCAAGATATTCTAAGAATTGCATTCGAAAAAGCTTGACATGATGTGAAACTCAAAATCTTTGTCGTAAAATTTCTCAAAACTAAGTAGATCTACTGACCGGATAATTTTTTTTAATTCTGAGGTAGCGATGTGTCTAGTACTACATGTAGTATGGTCTTGTAAACCAACCCTCCCCCTCCC